TGCAATTTCTGTCTATCTTTTATCTTTGGTTTTTATTACTGGATCATTTGAACTTTGCAACTCTCAAATTGAATGCTTTTCAACTAAAATGATATCTGCTTAAGTTTTGATAAATAGCTCTTGTTGGTCTCTATTATTTCTCAAATACATTTTTCTCTTATCTTATTTTTAACCACACATTCTTCAATAAAATAATATTACATGCAAATTCAGAACTTTTCCTTATTTTTTAACCACACATTTGTCATTTAAACACTATTCCAAAATGCATTTTTGACAAAAAAATGAGGCTCAGACAGGCTCATAATATAGAAATTAAAGCACTGGACAATGTGATTAGATGTGAGTTTGTAAGTCCAGTCCATTCTTTGCAATTTTTTTTTTTTTTTTATAACCGTGGATGTCCGGGCAGCTTGCGTGCACCTCGACTAATTCCACCAGTCCATTCTTTGCAATTGCTGAGAATTAAACACATCTTCATTGGTTACATGGTCGACCCTTGCTATTGAAACAATAGTCTTTGTTTCTTCGTTTTCCCTTATGCTTATGTTTCACTTGGGGGTTGTATTCATAACCATTCACCTGAACTTGTTCGTTGTAATCATGATTACTTATCCTGTTCCAACTGTTCTTTGGAACAAAGCTCACCATAATTTGGAGGATTCTACCAAAATACACTTTGTTAAGATAAAGCATTTCCTAGTGTCTGAATTTCCATGGTTAAATAAAAGGTTGTTTTCTTATTTGTTACAACGCTCTATTCTCCTCTCTTTGTAGCTGTATGGAATGCATATATTGCTGCATGGCTAACTAGGGGATGCGTAACAGCAGTTGAGGACCTGATCCATGGGGCTGTTGGAAGATCATAGAACTTACATTTTAAGTGCTTGTAGTTTGAGAGAATCTCTTTGGTAAATGAGCTATTGATAAAGGAGCAAGAATGTTGGTTCTTACATGTAAAAATTAGAGAGAAAAACTAGTCTTAAATATTCTGATCTAGCACTAGAAGAAAGTATCTATTGCTGGGAAGACTGTGTGGGTTTAGATTGTAGTTTTTCTATCCTTTTCTATGTTGTGACGTGTTTACGTTTTCTGTTCTTTTCTGTGTTAATGGAATCTTGTATTCATTCCTGCCTTGAGCCAAAAAGAAGCCGACTTAAATGTGAATTGCTTAACTAATAGATCTTGTTCTATATGATATATGTTTTTGTTTCTGGTGACTTGTTCTTCTCCTTGATTTCCTTCACTTCTGACAGCAACTGATGATTATGTTAATATGTGTAGACTCAAGAATTTTTGGTTCTTGGACGGCAATTTTTGACTGAAGTGAGAGACAAAATATATTGCTTGACTGATGAGATCATGAAAAAGGCGGGACAGCATGATCCTTCTGGATACTTCTTAATAGAAGTAGATTTCAGCATTGTCTTTGTTTACTGAAAATGAAGTATATCTTTTATCCCCAGCTAGTTGCTAACACCAATTGGAATGTGTTTGCAGGATGTTTTTTGCAATGATATGAGGGAACACTCCGCTATAGACTACAGCAAGCCCATACTTGATTGGCTTGAGCACTGTAAGGATGATGCACTTGAAAAATGGGAATGCATCATAGCTGGTGAATTACAACAAAAGCAAAAGGCACTTTTGGGCAGCGAAAAAGTACAGTTGCCTGTGTTTAAAGCTCTTCACATGCAAAAAACAAGGTTTTGTGACCTAAGGTTTCGACTTGGTGCTGGATATCTTTACTGTCACCAGGTATATTCTTTCTTTTTTCTCGATTTTTGTTTCTTAATGGGGTTTATGTTGGATTGAACATGTTGCACACAAATTCAATATCCAGTTAGGAGCCCGCCTGTGATTCCTAACTTGGCAGGCTGTGTGAAGACCCAGTATTTAACCAAATCGTACTGGACTTCGAATTCAATGTAATCCACCCATCCATAATTATCTTATTGTTACCAATCACCTGGATTTCTAAAACCCAAGGACCAGGATCAGAAAGTTGAATACAAAATGTTGTACGTGCAGGTCAATTCCACTAAAAGCCTATTGATAAAATTTTAAGAATTTTCATATGTTGCCATTGGCTTTTCTTAGTATTGAAGATTGTTGTTATCTAGATTATTTACTAATTTAAGTGCCACCTACCTTTTTATTAAACTTTCTTATAATGATTAATTATTCCATTCAACATTCTTTGTCTTGTAACTTTAGAGGATGGAGGCTTTTGAAAAGTACACTTAGGAGCACGAAATATAGTCATTCCACATCACTAGGTACTTTTGGGATGCCATCATTTGTAATTTGTCGAGCTTGAGTGATTGTTGGTAACTGCTTCATTTAGCACCATTTGTTTGATTTATGTTATTTTTTCTTCCCTTTTTTCCACCTGTCATGGCGTGCAAACATTTGCCCCACTTTTGTCATATATTTAGTTAATGTAAATGTAGAACCTAGAAGTGACAAGTTATTTTTGTACCTGCAGTTTTGACATGAGTGCTTAAAGCATGCATTTTATGTGTTTGCTGGATTTTCATCTTGATCAAAGTCCTTTTTGAACTGGTTTATGTTTGTTTGTCAAGGGGGATTGCAAGCATTTAATTGTAGTAAGAGACATGAGGTTGATTCACCCAGAGGATGTACAAAACAGAGCAGCCTATCCATTGGTGACATTTCAATTCAAGTTGCGTTATCGGAAATGCTCTGCTTGCAAGATTTACCGGGCAGAAAAGGTGACATTGGACGACAAGTGGGCTCCGGAGAACCCCTGCTACTTTTGTGATATTTGTTATTACATGCTTCACTACGAAAATGGGTCTCTGCTGTATAGTGATTTCTCTGTTTATGATTATCATCATGAATAATTGTTATAACAGTCATTGGTCAATGGAAAAGATAATTTCTGCAATATTTATCCTAATCTTGTGAGGGATGATTCGGGTTTTGTAAAACCATTTAGTATGTTTGGCAGACTCGATTAGACCACATAAGATAATCATGGGTTTAAGGTGGATTATCTACCCTTCTCTTAAAAGAGAGGCTTTGGGAACAGTTCATTCTTGTCACACTCGTTTTCACACTTGACTCATTTATACTGTTCATTAACTGGTTCACTAATATCTCCTTAAAGTGGATTTTTTCTCGCTGATTTCATACTTCATACATGCTTTCATCTCTCTACACCAAACCTCTCTCCTTATGCACGCGTACGTATGCATACACAAGACTTCGCCGGCTACCATAGTGCGGAGGCCGACAGGCTTCTCGTTGCCTCTGCCTCAGCCTCCATCGGATTCCATACGGAAGGCGAGGTGTGCCTGGTATTTGTTTTGTATGGTTCGAGAAAGTTGGGGCGTTAGAGAAGAATCTGTCGAACCTAACGAAAGAGATTAAAGTACAGAAGCTCGTCCTCAATATCTCCATCGGTGAGAGCGGAGATAGTCGTACCAGAGCCGCTAAGGTGTAATTTCGTCCCTGATACTATTTTTATTTTATTGAGTATTTTTGAAGTTGAATTCGATTTTATGTATTTGTTTTTTATGTTTTCAGGTCTTAGAGCAACTCAGTGGCCAATCTCCTGTTTTCTCTAAGGGTAAGTTTCACAATATCTGAACCTATTTTCTAGGGGGTTTTATTATTTATAGTACAACATCTGCAACGTATTATTATTGCTTACCATATTGTGAAAGTCATATGTGAGTGGTTTATATCAGTAATTTATAAAATACTGCTTAACTTAATGCACATTGTAACTTCTTAAATTTTCATTAATGGTAGCTCTAAAAATGAAATCTTGCGAAATCTTCCTCAATTGTTTTGGATCTGGCTTCATTTTGAATTATTTAGCACTCTTTAATTGTAAAGTAATTGTGAATCGTCATATTAGTAACTGTTAAAGTAATGCTCTGCTAGATGATAGATAGACTATGATATTGTAAATTCATTAGTTTTCTTTAATGGTAGCTCTAAAATGAACTGACTATTGTTTTTCTCAATTATCGTTAATGGTACACTATTTCTAATGAGTTAGGCTTTGGTGAGATGGTAATTGAATGTGAAAGCATGTTTATCCGAAACTCTGTTTTATTTATTCTTTCAAAGTGCATATATGCAAAAAGATGTTCGCTGTAGTTATTTCATCATCAAAAGTTTGATCATCTGACTATTGATAATCTAATGATAGTGCAATGGTTTATGCCTCTGCTGTGTGTAATTTAATCTTTTAGAATCAAAATATATAGTGATGAAATGAACTTAGTTTTTCATTCCCTGTATTTCACCTAATGGAATTGTTTGATTTGTTCCACCGCAAGATACACTGTGAGGTCCTTTGGGATCGGGCTTAACGTAAAACAATGAGTCTTTGGTTCAATCATATGATTTTTTTTTATTGAAGTTATTACTGTATTTCTTGCTGACGAACCAGAAAATCCCCTAGAAGAGAGATCCTATAGCTCAATTACGATGGAGAGACTGACCTGAAGTGAAGATGGGCAAATTGATCATGTTTTACAAGTAGGTACTTTTACTGTCTTCGCTTCATGCTCGATGCTATTCAATTGCATGCCAAGAATTCAAATCCGATGTTTCATTTGTTTTGAGCTCCTTGGGTTTTGTTAATGCAGGATAAGACTTTTCATCATCCATACATAACGATAATTCCATCACAAGTGCCAATTTTCTAATGTGAATGTACTTGTCTTGTTTTCGTTATCTTGAAAGACAATGTACCTTTAATATGTAGAATGGCCAAAAAAAAAAATAGAAATTTATTTTGATAATCATATATATTTTTACAGATGCTACTAAAGAGATCATGATATTGCTCTCTTTATATTAAAATACTCATATCGAGATATACCATAGTAACCCTCTCACCAAAGGAGCATCTAGAAAGCAGCTCAAAAGAAGGAAATAATTTGGAAAGTTGGTCCAATCCAGTGGAGTTGGCGGCAGGAGAAGCTGCTGAGAAGTAGATCAAGTATCTTAAAGAGGAATTACCCACAGTTGCTTTTAAGTGTAGCACTCAGGAGCAGAAATCTAACATCGGTTGGAAATCCAGTCTGAAGGCTGGGAAGAATGTTAAAACTGGAAAAGCAAGCAATATTCTCCAAACAAGTGATTGCCTTGGAGCTGAAAGTAACTTTAGCTATGAAATTAGGAGAAATCTAGCTATGAAAATAATCCAGTCAATTATTTGTATTGTTGAGGAACTTTAGCTATGAAAATAGGATAACTCTATTTTCATTCAAAATATATAGTTTTTGAAGTTTATAAATGATGGTAGATGTCATACGGTGAGTTAAATATTTCGTGGGAAGTAATGGGCTACACTTACTGAAAAGGACCAAATAAGATAGTGTCAAGACTTGCCAATTGAATAGAGTAAATATCACTTTGCTTTAGCATGAGAAAAGAGGCAATGAATGTACTATCTAACCAAGCTAATATAGCATCAAAACATTTCCACTTTGTTTCTGGTACTAAGGCATTGTTGTGCATTGTTTTCTAAAGACGTGAAGAAAATGCACATAAACATGTATGATCTTTAGGCACATTTATTGAATATAACTTTTATCAAAAAGGGAGAATATTTTTTTATAAGAATGAAGAAGTTAGGGGCCCTGATTTACTTTGGAGCATCAGAAATTAGACCCGTAACATAACGATAGGATCTTTTGCCTTTACCAATTAATTGATGATTGTTTTTATTCATTTTATTTAGTCTTTCAATTTTTTTCCTATTAGGGTCCGTTTGATTGTAAGGATGGAAAATGTGTGGAAAGAAAATGAATTTCATGGAAAATGAATTGCCTAGAAATCATTTTATTGAGAATTGTCAATTATGTGTGTTTGATATGTATAATTTTCCAATTGAAAAATGTTGAAAATTTTCATCTTTGATGTTTGATTGGCATTAATTTTTCACCTTTTTTTACTGGAATCCCCTTCTGCCATTGAGTTCCCACCTCTTCCTCCACCACCACCACCGTCCCAACAACTGGTGGCGCCACCTCTTCTTCTTTCCCCACTACTAATAACTGCAAGAAATCTACTATCCAAGTTTCCAGGAAAAACCAAAACCACACAAAAACCCAAAATAAAGAACGCCACGACACCACCATTTCACCACCACGAGGACCACCATCTGGGCAATTTCCTTCTGCCATTGAGTTCCCACCTCCACTATTTCCACCTTCTTCCACCACTGCCGGAATCCCGCCTTCCTCCACCACAGCCGATTTATCCACCATATTCGACCTAAAATCCGCCATTAACTCCATCAGCACCAGATTTCCCTCCGCCGCCACCAGCACCATCGTCTTCTCCTTCGAACTCCACTCTTTTCCACTCATTCATCCACCTCTTCCACCATCGCACAACAAAGGAATTTCACCAACCAAGAATATGAAGACTTAGAACACGACCTGTACGATGTCGCAACCTGATGCTCCGATTTTTTCTTGGCCAGTAACCGATTCCCATGGCAGCTTGTTTTCTCCCTTGCCAAGAAAATAAAAAACCATCAAATCTATGGGAAAATGAATTCCTCATTTCCGTGGAAAAAGGGGTCACGTGAGAATTAAATGGAAAAACAATTGCCAAGAAAATTTGGCCTGTCAAACAGCCTAAAAGTTGGAAAATGTTGTGATATTTTCCATTTTCCATGGAAAATTTGGTGAATCAAACACAACCTAATTGAATTGATTTGTATACAAGTTAGAGAGAGAGATAGAAATGGGCAAGTGTGTTTGGATCTGAATGATAAATTTCACTTGTTTGAGAGCTTTAAATTCTCAAATAGATGGATTTTCTTCACTGGCTCTGTCAGTCTCTTGTTTTTCAGTTATCATTTCAATGATGCAGTTTTTGTACCTTTGTGCTCTCACGTGAACGATGTCGTTTTCATCACTTGATTTATCCCTAAAACTTATCGACAAGATTAAAGATATTTCTAGAAAGTTCTGGAGAGTTTCTAGAGGAAGTCTTGCTAAATAATGTAACGAAGGTATGAAATACATGTTGGAGTTATTTTATTCAAGTCATTCTACCTAACACGAGAATTTGCTGGAAGTTTAGTAACATCAGCATATTTAACACTCTATCCCTCTCCACCCATTTGTTTGATGCTTACGATGAGCCATAATAATCAGGTTGGTCCCAACACTGTCTTGGCACTCGCCAAATGTTCAAGAAAGTTATTAAGCTTTGATCTACCGTGGATTTAAGCAACATTAGTCATTAGATTTATGCCGTATGGCAAGATGGTGACTGCTTTAATGGTACCAATTTCGAAATCTTACTACTTTTTTGAAGTTTTTGAGCTCTTATAAGATGTTCAATTCTTGATGTCGTTCCATCTTCANCCCCCCCCCCCCCCCCCCCCTTCACATACATATATTTATGCGTCGTTACAAAAATCTTTGTTGATCTGATCGTTTATTAACCATAATTTTTTTTTTATTACATTGATGGATAAATTTTATATAGTTAATTGATTATTGTATAATTTTGTCTCTAAATTCAATTACATTTTTCAATATCATGTTGATCGGATAATTGATTTGTGTGTGGTATTGAATTTCTTTTCTCAATCTATAATCAGTTATTAATTCATACGAATTTGTATCTTCTATGGGGTAATTGGATGCAATATATGGTTAAATATAATGTAATTTATTTTTTTCCATTTTATTTTGTTACATTATGAAAATGTTTATGATTTTAGATGATATATTGTTATTGTTGTTGCAATAACAATGTTTTTTTCTCTGAAGGCTGTGAGCACTGTACAAAGTGAGAAAGTTTATAAAATTTAATCATTTTTGCATATTTCATATTTTATGTGATTGAATTCGTTATGAGTACGAAGTATATTTACCACACATGTAATGAAAGGAAATCTTCTTCTACTATAACTAAAGTTAAAAACATTGATAATCATTGATTATTTTTATTTTTTTCCCTTTTCTATTAATAAATTGTTTGGACACTTTTTTTTTATTTACAAATTTGGCTTTGTAGATATCTTATAATCATATTGTAGAATAGAAAAAACTTGTTTTGATTTTGTACTTGGGGAATTGAATATTTAGGAAAACAGTTAAATGTCAAACAAGTAAGTCAAATAACATACCGATTACAGTTATATCAATAGAAAAAAGTCTTTCCAACTTGAAATTAATTAAAGATTGAATGGATTGACCATGTTATCTATTGAAAAAGAAATGGTTGAACTATTCGACTATTCAAAATTGATTAATATTTTAGTCTCTACGACCTCAATACGAATTGTATTTAAGTGGTCGTTTTAAATATTTTCGTATTGTCATTTGATTGTAATATATATTTTTTAAATATTTCATTTAGTTATTTTATTGTTGATTTTAAATTAACAAATTTAGTTCCATAAAATTTCTATAAATGAAAAAGAAAATGATTATTTGTTACGATTTATGAGCTCAAATTTTGAAATTCGTTTCAGCCTCATGAAACGCAGGTACGGCCGTGTGGTTGTTTTCTACTATTTGAAAATTTTAGACTTGCAGTAGGTTTTGGTAAAATATTGCTCTCAAAACTAACCGAAGTAAAACAAGACTTAAGTGTGAAATATATATGTTCATTGGGGTTGCGATGGAAATGTGAATGGGAATGAACAATACGATTATTTGAAGATAAAATATACCTCGTTGGGGTTGCGATGGAAATGTGATACTAATTATTCATTTGGTATAGAGGAAACACCTAGTCAATTAGCTCACCTCGTTCACACTGCTGGACTACTTTCTGTTGGTTCTATGTATCGAAAGTAGTATGGACAATATATTAAGTATTTTTTTTATTTGTTGTTTGTGGATTATATTTTATGTTGCACACCGTAAATGAAATTTCAAAAGAGTGCGTGAATTTGGGGTATTCCATCATATTTGGTGCAGACTTGCAACGCCAAATCTGAGTGCATACATAGGAACAGGCAATCTTGCAAAAATTAAGAGTGTAATTGAAGCATTTGATGTTAGAGACTGTAATTTTTTATGATGTACTATAGTTTCTTGATAGCTTTTATGTCAATATTTAATGCTTCGATTTATTTTCCTTGTTGAGAAATTCCAATACCGTTTCTTCTATTCTGGAAATGCTGTTGACAAAGTTTGTTCTCCAACCATGTATTTTTTTTAATTTAGTTTGAAAAGAGCTCCAACTATTCTCGTGATGTAGGGGACATGAGATGTAATTTTGTCAAAGCTCTCTCTCTTTCTTAGTTCGTTGTGAGGGTTTTATGCTAGAGTTGCTCATTTTTTTTTTCTTTCTTTTTGAAATGTACGAGACATGTTGTAATTCACGATAATCCAACGCATGTAACGTACTAACATTATCTTCAAAATAATCCAGCCCGTGCAATAATAGTGTTAGTCTAAAATCTGTTTTTATTTGCTCATTAAAACTCTCCACTCCCTACTTCATTTATAGCATGTTTGTTATCAAGAATTAGATAGCACTGAAAAAAAAAAAGGAGTTTTAATCTTATTCATTGTATTGACTAATTCTGTTCAATATTGTTATCAAATAGGAAAAGAAATGGTTGAATCAAGAATATTCGTTAGCTAAAAATGTAAAACAATATGATTTCATTTACTGCTAGTTGAGGGGGCATATGAATGTAATATAATTGGTGAGATACCTAATAACAATCCTATCTGATCAATATCCAGTTATAAGAAATCTACAAGATTACAAGAAGAAATGGCACAAGTTATAGCCTATAGCCATGCAAATGTTTTGCCCATCTTCTAGCCATGAAAGGATCATAGTAATCCCAACTCTCAACACTGCTGGTCCTTCCACATATGGGAATGGCATCTGCACCATCGCTTATATCCCCTTTGTCCATAATGCCAACAACAGTTTCACCTGTCCTCACGTGTTCTTCATCTTCACTGTCGACATAGCTAAACTCCAATCGAACATGTCCTGACTCGCCTAAATATAATGGAATCTTCCTCTCCTCGCCACCTCTGAGTTCTCCGATCCTAACTACCCTAGCGCCTTCCCCAATCCTCAACTGGATGTCTCTGATTGCACCTCCAAGAGTTCTTGCAAGGAATTCCTCAAATGCATTCATGATAAAACCATTTGAAGTGCCGTATCCAAACCCTACATGGAATCTATGGATTTTAACCGGAACTTCCATGTCAAACCGATGATAGGATCTTGATAGATTGTCGGACAAATGCAGGATACATGACTCGGGGTTCCTGTGGACACGATCACCTAGTATCTTTACTCCTTTCTTTAGCCCTTCCATTGGATCTGCTTGTCCCATATAGAATAACCGATCAATGACTTGTAATGCTTTTCGCTTTCCATATGAAGTCATGCGCCTGAGAGAGAAAATGCGTGCTGCAGCAGATGAGTAGGTAACAATGGCCAATCTATCCATGGGACGTAGTGAGGATACCACGAGTGCCATGGATTGCTTCATGAGCCTCAAGTGTGGCCCATTCGGGCTTGCAACTAAGACCAAATCAGTTGCGGGTTGATGTGCTAACTTTACACAAAGATAAGCTCTGTTATTTGTGGAGCAGAGAAAGGAATTTCCACCGGTTGTGGGAAGATGTTGTACGGCATGTGGTGATTCTGCCATTAGAGAAGAACTAGATAAATGATGTTGTGATGGAACTATGGAGAGATGGAGACGAGATTGATCAGTCGAGTGGTCAGGCTCGATCGGATCATCATCATCATATCGAGCAGATCTTAGAAAAGATCGCCTGTGAACCCGAAAATTAGCAATTGAATCATCAAGGATCCTTAGAATAGGATCGGTCTTGTTGTAATGGAGGGAACATCGAGTATTTAGGTTGCGAGGTAGCTGAGTCCAATGTGCACGGCAAATTGGGCAAGTAACACTGCCGTGGTTAACATTTGACGAGATGCATGCAAAATGGAAAGCATGAGAACATTGTGCTGTGAATATTGCCTGGCCTGGACTGCTGCCGGAGCTGTAATTTAGAGGATCGAGACATATTGTGCACAAATTCTGCCAGAGAAGTGAAGGAAAATGCATAAGCCTCTCTAAAAATTAAATGCATGATACGTAGAAGTATGTTTCGCAATGATATTAGAAGAAACTATAGCGAGGAAAACAGAAAACAAAAGCATAAGAAACTTATACGAGGCAAAAACTCGTGTACATACTAGAAAATTTGTGGGGACTAACTGAGCACATTGATTCACAGGACTATTTTCAGCTTAGTAACATTTAATGTTCTCAAGCAACTTGTTCATCCCTCCATTTATCCAATGTAATGATGTATGTCAAATTCCCTTCTATAAGCAATTCCATAGATTCATATTGCTATACAAATATTATATAAATAAATTATCATTTCATTATAAGACTTCCAAAATTGCAACCTCTTGATTTTGTTGAACAAACACCCTGTAAGATGGGTTGTGAAACTGAGTCGGGCCTGGTGGGTTTATAGATCCCGGGGAGTTAATTCGAAGGAATTCGCAAAATTTTCATACAGCAGAAGGTATAAGAGTAATAATGTACTATATAACTCAACCAGTTTGGGGCAAAGAATTAAGATTTCACAATTAGAATTTGACTAATTCCAGAATTTAATTCAACCCTTTAAATAAGAGTAGTAAATAGATTCACCAATTCAAAAATAGTTCAAATGTATCCAGCAAATAGAGATGAATCGAAGGCATTCTGATAAGGAAAAATACTAACGTTAGCACAAATAAGATACCTTGTTAGAAGACGAAGAAGAAGGGCCAGTGCTTGAATCAGATTGCCAAATTTCAGAGGACACATTATTGCAAGAAAAATTCTTCTTGGGATATGCAGAAGAAGAATTGCTAGGCGAATCACTAGAACCCTGTCAAATAAATTGAAAAACAAAATCATAATTTATCTCAAAAGTTAAAATTTTGTTAATCAGTTCAAGAAAATGTGAATTAAAGACCAGAACCAGAAAAAAATTTGGG